AGTGGAGCGCTGGGGGAGCAGGCTTCCGGGAAAGTTCTGGAAGCCGTATTCCGTAGGATTCTGGAAGGCCACCGGACCCACCTTTCCCAGGCCCCCAGGCTTTCTTTTGTCCTTGCTGGGTGTCAGCCTGGTTGGTTCAGGAGCATCGAAGTTGTCTTTATTTATCCTGACCTTTTCATGTAAGTAATTTTTATAGTTCCATTAACTAGTAAGACCATTTGCAAAGCGCGAGGCAAAATATACGACCGTGAACACCTCCGGGACTCATGTTCGTCCTGGGCGGAATGCTAATAGGAAGGAAAATTGATTCAGAAGGCTCCCGCCGGCGAGAAGCGTGGCACTGGCCCGAGGCGTCCCAGCCGCAGGTACCCGCAGGACACCCCAGGGGAGCCCCACACGGCTTGAGGCTGGGACCTTGGCCCCGGGCCTGGGCTGCAGATGCACAGCTTCCTCCTGCCCCAGGGCCCCTGCCCTGGCCTTCCCTCTGCCCGCCCCCCGCCCCCCCAATCTGTCCCCACGCCAGCCAAGCTGTCTGCTTGCATCGTGGAATGGAGTGGCTCCTTCCCGGCCGTGGCTTGAATTTGGCATCCAGAGTCAGCAGCTGCCGCAGTGGAGCCCTGTCCTCCTGGGCTGGGGGGAACATGCGGATCGTGGAGAAACTGAGGCCCACAGGGGCCCCAGCGAGTCCTCGGGAGACCCGGCGTCGGGGGAGGGGGAGGAGCCGAGAGAGCGCAGCTCCAGTTCCTCCTGACGTCTGTGTGTGGCCCTGGCGGAGGGCAGCACGTGGCTAAGAGGGGCCTGTCCCTCTCCTGCATGTGGGCCTGCTCACCGGGTCAGTTAGGGGCCCGGCCGGAACCAGCTGGCACGTTAAGGAGGATCACTGGGAGGCACCTGCGTGGGAAGGGTTAAGGGGCACAGTAAGATGTGGTGTTGCATTTAGGGCTAGCAGCTAGAAGTACCACCCTCAGGCCAGGAGAAACCCCTTCTCCCAGGGCCTATGGCTGGGAGGGGAGGAGACCACCACCACCCAGGCCCAGCCCCGCCTCCCTGCTGCTGCCGGCTTTTCCCATTGGCCAAACTCATCCGCAGTCAAGTCAAGGACGCCTGTTACTGCGCCCATAGAGGTTCCCGGGCGCGCAGACAGGTGGTGTGTGTCGGGGGGGGGGGACAGTGGAGAAGACCCCCGCACTACATTCTCACTGCGGAAGGCCGGGTGGCATGGTCTGATCACATACAAGGCGCAGGTGCACTGTGGCTGTAGCCCTTAGCATGCCGGGTCCCCAGAGCCTCCCCGGGAGGGGGTGGTTAGGAAGAGGAGCTGGAGAAAGCCTGGCCTTGCGCTGTCCCCCTGCAAACTGTGCGAGTGAGTGGAAGTCCCTGAACCCTCGCCGCCGCTGTTTCCCCCCTCCAAATGGAGCAGCGCCCAAGCGAGGTGGCCAGGGAGACGGCGGTTGTGACCTCTCTCTCCCGTTTGTCACTCACCGCACAGCTGCTGGCGATTCCCCGAGTGTGCCTATCGACTGCCCTGCTCACTGTCTAAATTATCTGTATTCCTTGTCCCCAGCCCCCCCGTGGGGAAAGAGGCCCTGAGATAAACCGCTGAGTCAGCAAGTGTGACAGCTGCAGGGTGCTGCGGCCCCTGGTTCCTCCACGTGGCCCAAAGTACCGTTTTAGAAAGGTGTAGCCTGGTTGCTACCCGCCGGTCATCCCGGGGAGTGAGTAAGCCGCAGAAGAGCAGGCTGGGAGAAGCCCACGGGACATGTCCCAGGGTCCAGGTGCCCGCCGAACCAGGCACCCTCTGCACCAGGAGCTTCTTCCCCCATGAAGCACCCGAGAGCGCCCATGTGAGGCTTGGGGGACCCAGCGCGGTGCTTGTTGTGCCATAGTAGCCGTCAGCCGTGTGTGAGTGGACGTGCGTGGGGGAGGGGCGGTGCTCAGCAAACGTGAAGTCACAACGGTAGATGAGTGCAGACCCCATAGCGCATGCGTGTGTGTGTGAAATGCCCACAGTCACTCCTGCTTACGGAGCACACGGCATGTGCCTGGCCCTGGTCAAAGGACTTTACGTGCATTATTTCTTTTCATCTTTGTGAGGTGGGTGCAACTCCTGTCCCATCTTACAGGTGCAGGATTGAAGGCACAGAAGTTAAGCAATGTGCTTTCTCTCCTGTCATTGGCAGATGTGGTGTTTCAGCTTGGGTCACCACATTATCTACTAGCCTGGCTTCTCCCCCAGGGGTGGACCTGGTGGACCCCCCCCCCCACGTAGACTGTCCCCAGCTAGGAATCTGTCCGCAGGTCCCCACAGACCACCCATCAGGTGCCCAGGCCCCCGTGAAGGGTGGGAGCGAGGGGACAGCATTTGTGCGGAGGATAAAAGAGGCGCATGCCTCCTGGGGCCCCTGCCCTCCCATGCAATGATGCTCTTACTTCTAACAGCAAGGCTCCCACAGTACGCATCTGCTTGTCCAATCCGCACACAGCCTGTGAGGCCCATCCTGTCCCTGTCCCCCAGGAACAGATGGGGGCCGGCACGGAGAGGCAGGCAGCTCGCCCGAGGGCTGAGTTAGTCTCAGCGTCCGCGCAGCCAGACCCCGTGTTCTGCAGGCAGCTTGAGCTCCTGACCACGTGCCATCCTGCCTCTCGCTAACAGCCGGGGACCTTCAAGGCAGGACGGAGGCTGTATGGGGGGCAAGGGGAGGGGAGCCGAGATCCCACAGCTCCGATTCCTCCGCAGGGCTGGAGCAGGGGAGCAGCCGACTGCCCCCAGTCACGTGGCCAGTGACACCAGTGCCCGCCTCGGCGCCCTGTGCAGGATGACAGATGGCTGAGCAGCCGTGGGAAGGAGAACTTGACACAATACCTGTGCCGAGTTCTAGCAGCCAGAGGAGGAGGCCAGGGTGGCGGAACCTTGACCCAGACCCTCCTCGGGGGTCACTTACTGTGGGGCCTGGGTCAGCAAGGACTCGGGACCTACCCGCCTGTTCTAGGCACAGCTGTTGTGTCAACCCAGGCCTCTGTGGAGGGGCTGCCTGCTGGTGGCTCCATTGGGGTCCTAGAATAGGAGTGGCCGGTGTCACTGTGTCACCTCCACTCCTCAGAGCACCCTCTGGCCTTCCCACAAGGCACCCATGCATACCGTGGTCTGAATGCCAGACACGGCACTCGGAGCCTCGCTATCCATGTTTCCTGCTTCAAAGGACACTGTCTAAACACAGCCGTGAAATAGGCACGAGTTAAGGTTTTGACAAGCAAATGTCATAGGCATCGAAGCAAGTGGGAGGAGCTCTGCAGATCTGGGACCGTGGGGAGGGACCCAGGAAAAAGACAGTGGTGCTTGGAGCTTGCTCAGAGCCCCAGGTCCCTGCTGGCTGGGGTTAGGCGACAGGCCAGCATGGGGCATGTGGGGGCCTCAGCAGTGTGGAGGGGGTGAGAGAGCAGCTGAGACCTGGGCTGGGAGCCCGCTGGGCCAAGGCACTGGCATGTGGTGGGGACCCAGGGGATGGACAGCTAGTGTCCAGTGTGTCCTGAGGATGCTGACCCACTTGGGCTTGTTTGGAGAGTCCAGTGGGAACCGGGGAAGCCCAGGCAGCAGGACTGGCTGGGCTGGGGTCTTGCTAGCAGCCAGGTGGGCTCGTCTCTGGGATCAGCACCAGCCTGGTTTCCCAGCCATAGCCTGGGCTCCAGCAAGCAGGACCCTGGGGCTGCTAATGTCTTTAGACTCCTCCCGGAAGGCCACGTGCACAGGCGAGGAGGGGGCAGGTGCCAGTGCTCTGCAGTCATGTCCAGCGCTTGCAGAACCGGTGAGCGTCTGATACGCCTTTCCTGGGGTCTCCCTTGCCTGGGGGCCAGAGCAAAGCTAAGGCCACAGCTTTAAGGTCCCCTGCATTTGGGAAAGGCCAGAGGCCCCCATTCCTATCACACAGTGGGGCTAACCTAGCAGCGTCCTGCTGGTGGGTGTTCGGGGCAGGCAGTGGGCATGCACATGGCACCCCCCACCCCAACACACACCTAAAGGATCCCATTGCCCCCCCCCCCCCCAGCCCAGCCCAGCCCAGTCCTGGGCAGAGAGAAGATCCCTGGCAGCTTTCAGCAAAAAGCCCTTCATCTAGGTCCCTTTGGAGAAACTGACAGTGCTGGCGGGAGCTGAGGAGTTCCCGAGCCTCCCAAACTGGGCGGGTGGCAGGTGGGGTTCTGTCATCTTCCACTGATGGATTAGATAGCGGGGCAGATCTCTCAGGGGGCAGAAGATGACCTTGAGAGAATGCGGATTCCGTCAAAGGACGAGAGAAATGATCCGCCATCCTCAAACTGCTGTCAATAAACCTTGTCGGCGCCGTGGATGGAAGCTCGCTGGAGGCTCGGGAGGCTGGAGCATTTGACTGCGTGATAAGAAATTGCCAGGCACTTTCTAATTACAATTATCATCATCGTGGATGTCTCTCTTAATTACTTTCTTATAATTAGCTGTTGCTTTTTCCTCTGCATTTGTGAGCTTTGCAGATTTGCTGACATTTGGGGAGGAGGGCAGGCAGGTGTGGGGGGTGGGGAGAGTGAAAAGTACCTCTTCTTCACAGCCAGCCTGGTAGGTGACCTGGCCTTGGCAGGAAGCAGGAGGGGGCAGCTGAAAGATGGAAGTGACATTGTCTCCTGAGCAGATGGCGCGAGGGAGCCGGGATGTGGATTTAGGGGTTGAGTTTGGGTCCCCAGAGGTTCAATGTCGGAGGGAATGCTCTTGAAAAGTCACCAGTGCTAGCATTTGTCAGGCTTGGGCTGCGAGTTAGGAAGTGAGGCTGGGGTGAAAGACACTCTTGTCTGAGGCCAGGCACAAGCAATTCAACGACTTGGGCTGTGGGTAGCTTGATTTGCCCCCAAACCAGCACTGTGTCCTGACGTCCCTGGGTACCAGGGGGCCTTGGCAAGCTGGGTTTTGCTCCTTGACTGGAGACTGGTTCTCACTGTTTGTTCTGGTCCTTTCTCCCTCTCCCTCGCCCCCACAGCCCTGTGTACAGAGGAGTGCGTGCATGGCCGCTGTGTCTCCCCTGACACCTGCCACTGCGAGCCCGGCTGGGGAGGGCCCGACTGCTCCAGCGGTGAGTCTTTGGGGGTCTTTGGGGGTCCAGCAGCCCCCTGGCTGTGACTTGGGAGGGGGCTGTGGTATGGTGTGTGCATGGTAAATTCTTGTGTTGACTCAGGATGGGCTGTGTGAGCCAGTGTGGGTAGTGTGGGTAGCAGGGTGCAGGTGCACCTGCAGTTAATGCTAGCCCCTGATGGTATTTGTGGGGGTACAGGGTGCTGGGAGGCACTGAGGGGAATGGTCCCTGGGGTCCATGGGCTGCTGAAGGTTGTATGTATAGGGAATTGTGGGGCTGTCTGTCTAGCTGTTTGGATGAAACACCTCTCGGTATGGTCTTTGAGGGTTGAAGTGAACTTGCGATGCCGTCCAAGGACCCAGGAGGTCACCATGATCTACTCTTGGTCCTGGACTTTGCTGGTCTGAAGGCTCAGCAGGATTGAGTCACGAGACTGGTGGTCTCGGGGACAGCTCCGTGCCCTGGCAAGTAGAGTGGGAACCTCATGGGAGTGGACCATGGTGCTCCTACATTTCTGTAGGCAGATAGCTCGCGTTCTCCTGGGAAGCCTGCCTGGTGAGCTTGGAGTGGGGCAGGGGCTCTTGCAGGCTGAGCCACAGCAGCACGGGGCGCCGTCTCTACTGCTGGGCCGTGCATACCCGGCAGCAGCTTAGAGAGCTCTCGGCCAAGAGCCCAGCCAAAGGCAGGCCCTTCCCCTCTGGCTCAGTCCCCCGGACACCCGCAGGGGGCTCCCCTGCACTGGCACACTCTGCAGCCAGTGGTCGGGTAATGCCACGGCCTTGTTTCAAGTTCAAAGAACGTGGAAGGCCAGATTCCCTCCTGCCTTGAGCTGGGGTTGAGGATCTCACATGCCCACTCTAACCGTTCAGGGGCCTGACTCCCTGTGTTCACCCACACTGACCGTGAAGGCCACGAAACCTGGAGAGGGGAGTGTTGGGTGCGTATGGGCACAGTGGGGTGCTCCTCCCGTGCCCACTCTGCACGGGTGGGGGACATCTGGTTGTCCCAAGGTCTTGCCCTGAGCTGCACTGTCCACACATTGCGTGAGAACGCAGAGGCCAAAGCAATGCCGTGGGCCATGTGGTTCTGACGTGAACCTGGGTGATGACCTGGGCTCAGGGCATCCAGGACTCTCCAAAGTATGGGGCCCTCTGGTGGCCACCGCAGCCCCTCCTTCTACCTGCTGTGCTGTTTTGAGGTAGGCTATGGCCAAATAACAATAAACAAGCAGGTGAATTAAAGGAATGTGCTGACCAGTCGTTCTGTGCACTTGAACTTCAGGAAACATGCTGGGTGATGTGTATTGGGAGCTTTTCCCACCTGCCTGCATTTTGTTTGGTATAACTTTTTTGCTTATGATGGGTCTTTGAGGAGGAAATCTATAACTTGGCTTGGGACAACCCTGCTTTGGGGGGGGTTCTCCTTGCTGCTGCCGGAGTCTGAGGCTGAGGCAGCCTGTTGGGGGGTGGGGAGGAGTCCCGGGACCCCTGAGTAGCCCGAGCTCACCCATCGCTGCTAGCATGCTTAATGCCTGCTGGATGCATGGACAGGAGGGCATCTCCTATATGTCTGGTCCCTGCATATTTGCACTCAGAGCCGGGTCTGCAGGACCATGATCTATGCCTTCTTGGGGTCTACAGTGTGGAGGATGAGATGGGACGAGGGCGGCCCCTGGTGAGCGGGGCAAGTAGGGGTAGGTAGGTCTTAGGTCTTGGCCTCAGGGTGGGTTCACCAAGCAAGTGGGGAAGGGGCCTGGGTATGTTGCAATGCAGCATTGGGCCGTCCAACTCAAGCCCCCCCACCCGCGCCCCAGCTCCAATTTGGCCATCATGCTTGGTGCTGAGCAACCCACAAGCTCTTTGTTCTCCATTAATCCCCCATGGGTCAAAGCACCACTCCCCCGGGACCGCTCACAGGTGTGCCATGCAGAGCCCAGAGGAAACCGTAAACACGGCGTTGGTTAAGGGAATGCCTAGCTTCTCACTTTCACCACACTCAGAGCCGTGAGCGTTTAGACGCTGGCTAGGAGGTTTCCGCCCTCCGCCGCGATCCCTGTGGCGACAGGCAGCTCACCCCCTCCTGAGCAGGTGCAGTCTGCCTGTTGGAGGGGTTCCCTTCCGGCCAGTGGGAATCTCTAGCATCTGTTGCTTGGTTCTCCCTCATGACGAAGGCCAGGGCAGGCTGGCGCATTGCCGTGCCGGTCCTTGCTGTGACTGGGGTTTTCCCCAGGGAGCTCACTGGACAAGGTGTGTACCAAGATGCTCATCTCAGCAACTGATAACAGCCAATGAGGCCACACAGAGACCAGAGCCCCTGTCATGTCAGCCCTCCGGATATAAGACAGCAACCACTTCTGTGCCCAGGGGTTCCTTATCCACGCCCCCCCTTTTTTTCTTATGTGAAATCATCTTACCCATGGAGATTCTCTTTTGTTGAATTTGGCCTTTATTCCTCTTCAACTGTCATTCCTAGGTTCAACCACTCAACTGCAGGCTTGGTCTGACCTGTATGGAAAATAATAAAGGAGGTGGCTAATATTTATTGATTTTTTTTTTACTCTGCACTTTATTTATCTGCTCATTTCATCTTCGTGACAACCCTGTGGTGTAGGAAATATTACTAGCCACATCTTACAAGTGAGAAGGTTCAAGAACTCCCGACAGACCCACGGGCTGTCAGCGGTGAAATGGAGACCATCGCCCGGGCGCAAACCTGGCTGCTGAGCTGAGCCCTTAATTATTACACGGTTCCTCCTGCTGGATGCCCAGCCTGAGGCTGACCTGAGTCTCTGCTGGGAAGGCGTGGCTGCTGGCGGGGGCGGAAGGGTCGTGTGTAAGATGAGGCCCTGGGATATTACTGTGGATGCAGAGGTATCAGCCCGGGGACACAAACTGTGACCAGGTTTGCTCCGAGTGGCGTGCGCCCGTTGCCACTGTGCCGTTGTGCCCCCGGCTGCCCATGAGTGCTCTGTGGTGCCCTGGGGTCTTCGTGGGGCTCACCGTGTGAGGACGTGTGTCTTAGGCAGCGTGCGTTTCTGGAGATCTGTGATCGGAGTCCGTGTCCCTGACACAGTGGCAGAGCTCCTTTGGGCTTTGTTCAATTGAAAGCATCATTTTTGCTTGTTCGCGTTTTTTCTGTCTGATTCTTAAAATTGTACCTGTTCTTGGTAAGAAGAAAAATCAAACTGCACCAAAAGCATGGACAGGAAGGCGTCTCCTCCGTGTCTGGTCCCTGCACATTCGCACTCAGAGCCGGGTCTGCAGATGGTGGCTGGTACGATGGGTGCAGCACGTGTGCTGGTCTGGTTTGCTTGTTAGTCCGCCTCTGTGTCATCACGCATTTCCTTGTCCACAAACACTCATCTGCTTTAGCCTGGCCAATGGCCTTGTAGAGTCTCATTCTGTGCGTGGCCAGATGTGCGGACCCAGCCCCTCGTTGGTGGGCACTGGGGCTCGCTCTGGTTCTTCCCTGTTGTGGGCTCAGCATCCTCTACGTGAGACTCGGGGAAGTTTTCAGAGTTCAGAAAGCAGGAGGTGGCCAGCGCCGTGGCTCACTAGGCTAATCCTTCACCTGCGGCGCCAGCACCCCAGGTTCTAGTCCTGGTCGGGGCGCCGGATTCTGTCCCAGTTGCTCCTCTTCCAGGCCAGCTCTCTGCTGTGGCCCGGGAGTGCAGTGGAGGATGGCCCAAGTGCTTGGGCCCTGCACCCGCATGAGAGACCAGGAGGAAGCACCCAGCTCCTGGCTTCTGATCAGCGCAGCGCGCTGGCCACGGCGGCCATTTGGGGGGTGAACCAATGGAAGGAAGACCTTTCTCTCTGTCTCTCTCTTTCACTGTGTAACTCTGCCTGTCAAAAGCAAGCAAGCAAGCAAGCAAGCAAGCAGGTGGTGATTGTATCACGTGGGAGGTGCCATCCAGGGGTGTCTGTGCCACAGCCTAAATGAAAATGCGGTATTTAAAACAATTTTAAAAGATGTATTTATGTTTGAAGGGCAGAGAGAGGGACACACACACATGCACACACACATACATGCATACATATACACAGATCTTCCATCCGCTGGTTCACTCCCCAGATGGCTGCAACATCTGGGTCTGGGCCAGGCCAAAGCCAGGAGCCTGGAACTCCCTCTGGGTCTCCCTCATGACTGGCAGGGACCCAAGCACTTGGGTCAAATTCTGTTGCCTCCCCAGGCGCATTAGCAGGGAGCTGGATTGGAAGCGGAGCAGCCGGGACTTGAAGTGGCACTGCAGTGTGGGATGCTTACCTGCTGTGCCACAGCGCCGAGCCCTGTCAGATTTATGAAGTGACAGGGACTGATCTCATCTGGGGACATAAAGACAATACGATTGCAGGTTTTGCCTTTCAATGGACGTTGGCAGCAAACCTGAGAAATACTTTTGGATCCTTCAGAGGTTTATGGATGACTGGCCCAGGGCCCGGGGCTCCGTGTCACAGTGCAGGGATTCTGCACGGATCTTGGCCCGCGTGTCCCCAGTTTTTTTCTGAGGATGAATTCCTGGAAGTGGCAGGGAGGGTTAGAAAGATCCATCACGCTGCCGCGTGCTCCTGCCCGTGCCCTTTGAGCCGGCCGCAGGATTTATGACTTGGATGGGTGTGTGTGGGGGGGACACATCTAGAACTGGGGGGAGGGGGAAGACTTTGTCTTTTACAGACTTATAACCCTGTCGCCTCATTTCTTTAGGGCCCCGACTCATTTCTTTCTGCTCCATAAGTAGAGTGAGGCGATGGCGAGAGGCCAGCAGGCAGACACATCAGCTCTTGTGGCCAGCGCTGGGCTGTTAGAGGGGAACACGGAGAAATGGAGGGCCAGCAGTGTGGGTCATAAACTTCCATCCCCCGTAATAATGAAGAGTACAAGGATGACATGTCAGTTTATACTGAATAAAGATGACGGCGCGACTCTTATTAAATTGCACTAATCTCACAAGTGGAGATAAAAAGGAAAAAAAAAACAGTTTTCCAATATTGGATATCTAG